AAAATAAAATAAAGAAATAGATAGATAAACAAAATGGAATAAATAAGTAAATTGATATATGAGATATAAATAGATAGTGGATACATGAATAGTGAAATAAAGAAACAGACAGATAAAGGAAATGGAATGAATAGTTGAATGATAAATAAATAAAATAAAGAATAATGAAATTAAATAAAGAAACAGATAGACAGATAAAATTGAATAAATAAGTAAATTAGTGCATGGAACATAAATAGATAAATGGATAGTGAAGTTTTTGTCTGTGTCTTTCTGGCAGCTTGTTCGTCTAGTCGTTTGTCTGTTAAATGGTTGATCTGATTTTGTCTGTCTGATAGTTTTTTTGTTTGTTTGTTTGTGCGTGTCTAATAGTCTGTTTGTCTATTAGTTTGTTTTCTGCTTATCTCTCTATCTATCTATGTATCTGTCTGTCTGTCCATCTGTCTCTTGCTCTCACTCTGTCGCTCTCTCTCCGTCACTCTCTCTGTCTCTCTCTCTCTCTCTCTCTCTCTCTCTCTCTCTCTCTCTCTCTCTCTCTCTCTCTCTCCTCTCTCCTCTTCCTCTTCTCTCTCTCTCTCTTCTCTCTCCTCTCTCTTTCTCTCAGTCTCTTTCTCTCTTTCTCTCTCTCTCTTTCAGTCCACCCCCACAGTTCATATGATCAAATCCAATGCTGCTTTTCGTTGTAAAAGGTCGTCAATATTTTTAAAAGTTCAAGGCTGCATGAATACACTTTAGGAAATCGTGTCTCTTGAATTATCCATTGGACTTTATCTTACACGACGAGTAGGTTGATTTCACATGCAGCTGGTATTTCTACTGTTGGTAGAGTACGAACGTATAGATTTTCTGTGGATATCAACTGCATCGTTACATTTTATTTTCGTACGATTGTAGTATATCAACTTCTTGAGTTGTTGTTTTTTTTTTCTCTCTCTCTCTAGCCTGTTGCAAGACAGTAAAATCCACTTGCAGAATATTTGTGCAAAAGCGGATATCTGACACAAACAATTTTCTTTTTCCTGAATCTTTTCCGTCTTCCCCTGGGGTGCCGGATGCCAAAACCTGATATTTGTTGTCTTACTTGGTCTTGTGCTGGGTATAGGGGGCGGAGGAGGGGGAGTAGGGAAGGGGAGGGGTAAGGAGGGCGTGGATTGAGAGAACAAAAGGGAGGAGGAAGAGAGAGGGTGGAGAAAGAGGGGAAGGGTGGAAGGAGGAGGTGGGGGGAAGGAGAGTGATAGGAGGGAGAGGGAGAGAAAAGTGGAAGTAGGGGGAGGGAGAGGAAGAAAAGTAGTGGGGAAAGAGGGAGAAGAAGGTGAAAGGAGGAGGAGGGAGGGAAAGTCGAAGGAGGGTGAGGGAGGAGGAAGAGAGGAGAAAGGGAGGGTATGTAGAAGGAGAAAGAGGAACGGTTAACAGGTAGGGAGGAAGTGGATGAGGGAAAGGGTGAGGATTTAGGGGAAGCAGGAAGGACAGGTATGCCAAAAAAGTAATAAAAGAACAAAAAAAAAGTAAGAAAAGTGAGACGAAGAGAAATAAACATACGAAAGGAGAAATGGTGATAAAGAAGACACAGAAGGGAGAAGAGAGAACAAAGGAGAGAAAGGGCACAGGGAGAAGAGGAGGAGTAAGGGAGAGAGAAGGGGGAGGGAGGGAGAGATTACCCAAGGGGCCTGGAGGCAATATCGCCATGGAACAAGTCAAGAGCATGTTGCATTTTTTGGAGGTTATGGCTTGTATGTTTCATGTTTACATTGCTGAATGAATGTGTGTTTTTTATACATATTCTTTTCTTTTTCTTTTTCTTTTTTTCTTTTTTTTCGGGGGGGGCGGGGGTAGGAGGGAAAAGAAAAAAGTCTTTCTGTAGATCTGTCTATTTATCTTGCTCTCTCCGAGTGTATGTCCTCTCTCTCTCTCTCTCTCTCTCTCTCTCTCTCTCTCTCTCTCTCTCTCTCTCTCTTCTCTCTCTCTCTCTCTCTCTCTCTCTCTCTCTCTCTCTCTCTCTCTCCTCTCGCTCTCGCGCTCTCGCTCTCTCTCTCTCTCTCTCTCTCTCTCTCTCTCTCTCTCTTCTCTCTCTCTCCTCTCTCTCTCTCTCTCTCTCTCTCTCTCTTTATTTGTGTCTGTCTCTGTCTACCCCCCCCCCTTTCTTCTTACTTTACTCTCGGAATTCCGCTTCTTTGCTCTCTCTCTCTCTTTCTTTCTCTATCTGTCTATCTATCTATCTGTCTGTCAATCTATCTATTTATCTGTTTATCTCTCTCTATCTCTCTCTCGCTCTATCTGTCCATCTATCAGTCTATCTATCCATCCATCTATCTATCTATCTATCTATCTATCTATCTATCTATATATCTATCTATCTATCTATCTATCTATCTATCTATCTATCTATCTATCTATCTATCTATTTCTATGTGTTTATCTTATGTGCTTATTCTTAGAAATCGGTCATTCCATTATCCCTCCCCCTCTCATCCCCATTTCTCTCTTCCTTATTAACCCTCTCAGATCTTCCCTTTCTCATCTTCTCCCTCCTTTTTATCCCCATCTTCTCCATCCCCGCCTACACCTCCTTCTCCAATCCCTTCTTAGTCTTCCTCTTCTTATCCTCTTCCTTTTTCTTCTACTTACTCCAGCCTTTTCCCATCCTTCCCCTTCCTTTCCTCTTCTTATCTCCATTCCCACCTCCTCCAGACCTTCCCCATTATTCCCCCTCCTTTCCTCTTCCTACTTTCCATCCCCGCCCACCCCTTTCCCCTCCACCCCGCCCTCCCCTCTCCCCCTCCACCCCGCGCCACCCTTCTCCCCCTTCATCCCCGCCCACTCCTCTTCCCCCTCCATCCCCCTCCATCCCGCTCTTCCCCCTTCATCCCCGCCCACCCCTCCTCCCCCTCCAACCCCGCCCACCCCTCTCCCCCCTCCATCCCCCTCCATCCCCCCGCCCACCCCTCTTCCCCCTATAACCCCACCCACACCCCTCTCCCCCCTCCTCCCCGCCCACCTCTTCCCCCTCCTCCCCACCCAACATCTCCCCCCTCCACCCCACCCACACCTCTTCCCCCCTCCCGCTCACCCCTCTCCCCCCTCCAACCGCGCCCACCGCGCCCACTCCAAGCACAGTGGCTCTAAGGCAGGCAGCCCGGTCCCGCACAATGGCACCGAACAGGCTGTGTTGTTCCGCCCGCCTTTTGTGTTCCTCCCGAAAATAGCGAGGGAGAGGCTCTCAGTGCGTGCCCTCTCACCTTTATAAATTCATTATTAGGCTCGCGGTCTGCACAGGCAACAATATATGCCTCCCCCCCCCCTCCCCCTGCTATATACCCCTCTCCCTGCCTTCCTCCTCCTCCTCCCCCTCCCCTGCCCCCTGTCCTCCTCCTCTCCTCCTCCTCCTCCCCTCTCCTCTGCCCCTTCCTCCTCTTCCTCCCTGGGCTCCCTCTCCCTGCCCCTCCCCCTCCCCTCCCTCCCCCCCCTCCTCCTCCTCCTCCTCCCTCCTCCCTCTGCCCCTGTCCCCCTCCTCTCCTCCCTCCCCTTCCCCTCCCCCTCCTCCCCTGCCTCCTCCTCTCCCTCCCCCTGCCCCCCCCCCCTCTTCTGCCCGGAAGCCCTCACGCCCTTGCGCCTCCCGCTGAGCCTCATATGGGGGGGGGAGGAGGGGTAGTATACGTGGCTATCTTTCTGTACAAAATCATGGTGGAATTGTATGTGCTTTAGCTTGTTAGTCTGTACTTAAAAGTTGTTATGTTTGTAACTATTACTGAATTAAATTTTCGTTCTTTACTGATATTTATTGAAATTACTATCTTGGAAAGGATAATGATCATGATTAGCCTATTGATATCAACAAGAACATCAATAACAAAAAAATAATAATTGCAGGGATTAGATGTCCAATGGCAATATTCAATAACGACATCAATAACAGCAACAATACCCCTCGCTCTGCAGCTACACATAAAAATAACACAAACTTAGATGACCTTTACCCTTCAACTACACCTAATAACAGCAATGGAAATATTTTTTTTTTTTATTAAGCCTCCTGGTCGTATTCTTAGTAGGTGCGACTGTCTACCTTTTGGAAAATGAAGCTATCAGAGGAGAGCGTCCGGCACTCGAGGCGAGGCTGTCTCTCGCTTCTGATCTTTTGTGTGGAATGAGATCTCTTGGCTTGAAGCAGAAAATCTCACACTCACACGGATTGAAACAATGGGGGATTATACGCGGGTGCTTGTGTATATGTCTGTGTATATGTGTGTGTGTGTGTGTGTGTGTGTGTTTAGATAGATAGATAGATACACACACATACTGTGTGTGTGTGGATTTATTTATTCATTTATCTATCTATCTGCGTGTGCGTGATATATATATATATATATATATATATATATATATATATATATATATATATATATATATATATATATATATATATATATATATATATATATATATATATATATATATATATATATATATATATATATATATATCTGTGTGTGTGTGTGTGTGTGTGTGTGTGTGTGTGTGTGTGTGTGTGTGTGTGTGTGTACGCACTTCTGTATACCTAAACATATGAACACTTCCCATACCTCACACATATACACGAGCGATTACAGACGCGCAAGCACGCCCACTCACATCAGTTCCTTCGAAATCTCACCCCCGCCTTTCTCCCGCCCTTGCTCTCCCCAGAACCCGAGGAGGTGGTGTTCGACTGGTCCTCCTGGTGGAGCTACGACGGGATCTCCGGCCCTGGCTTCTGGGGCATCATCAACCGGCGCTGGAGGCTCTGCAGCGACGGCAGGAGGCAGTCGCCCGTTGACCTCGCCACCGCCGCCGTCGTCTACGATCACACGCTGTCCCGGCTCGACCTCGCCTCCCATAAGGCAAGCAGAGAGAGGGGAGAGGGATGAATTAGAGAGAGGGGAGGGAGAGAGAAAGAGAGTGAGAGAAGAAAAATGAGAGAGAGAGAAGAAAAATGACAGTGAGTGGGAGAGAAGAATGATGAG